GGTCCCTTCCAACCCAAACCATTTGATGATGTGATCACGTTGTCCCTTAGGGTTGGATCCCTCTTTGGTGCAAGACTCCATCCCTGCAAAGCCTGGGAGAACCTGAGGAGCCTCACACCCCACAAGCCCAGCAGAGCAGAGGACATTACCTTGTAAACACAGCCCAGCGATGGCTGCAGAGGACACGTCACCAGGTTCGTCCCGACGCCGATCACGTTGATCTCGCTTCCCTGGTGCAGCAGAGAAGACAGTGGAACCTCTTCTCTGTTCTCAACCACGGAGAAGGTCCCAGGTGACTCTCAAACCCAACCCACACACCCCAAACCTCAGTGGTGCCAAGCCAAGGTGATGTCCCAGCTCTGACAGCAGATGTCTCACCTCCTGGCTGAACTCCTCCAGGTTCTGCTCGCTGATGTCATTGCTGACAGTGATGGGGATGGTCTCAAACCAGGGCACCTGGAAGCTGGAGAGAAGCAGGGGAGTGAGCGAAGGAGGAGGAGGCATAGGGTTTCGTGGGACCTCTGGTTCTCCTCATGGTACCCAGTGGAGCAAGGTGAGTTTCCACTCTGGTTCCTGGGGTGGAGAAGCTGGGGACTGGTGGTAGTCAACCCAGGTGGAGGACTCACTGAGCACCGCAGGCTCGGAACACTTGGCGGACCTCCTTGGACTGCTGGGCCAGGTCCCCGCTGTCCAGACGCACCCCGATGGCCTGGTACCCCAGTTGGTGCAGGGCCAGCGCCACGGCACAGAAGTTGGGCAAACCACTCCTGGAATGGGTGACGAGAAGGTTGGTGTCACTTGGTTTGGTGGGAGAAGAACCCAGGGTAGATCCAGCAGCAGGTCCAAGCCATGTAGCATGCAACAGCAAAGCATGGCGATGCTCCCAGGTGGAAACGTTCCTCCTTCAAGGCCACCAAGCAAGGAGGGATGTGTCCATCCCCTCTGCCATGGTGGTGAAGCCACCCTGGGTGGAGCTTGTGTCCTCACCTCCTGACACAATAGGTGTCCAGCAGTCCCTGGAAGTCCTGTGGGAAGGTGATGGCGTAGGACACGAAGGCAGCCAGCTCACCCTGGTTCACCTTCTCAGGTGGAGCCCTGCCCCAACCATGACTTGGCCAAGACCAGGAAGTCCACTGGCTCTCCTCCTACCAGTGGTGACAGCTCCTGCCCAGGAGACATCAGCATTGCACACACCGTGGCATCCTCCATAGCTCCAGGAGCATGGTCACAGGCAGAAGATCCCATTTCCACCCCTGACCACGAGGATGCTCACCCGGGGTTTCACCTCCTCCAACGAGGTGAAGGACATGATGAAGGAGTGGGCGATGGTGCCACGCACCGGGATGCCGTAGAGCTTCCCCGCCA